AAACGAGGATGCTCGAGAGACGCCTCTCACATTACAGAATTCAAGTAGGGCATGTTCGTCAGCAATGCAGCGTCGTTTGGCTCCCTGCTTCCATGATCACGAGTGAAAGTATCATCGACTTCTGCCTGGAGGCGTCGGTACACTTTTGGATTCGACAGGAGGTAGAAGAACATGTTTGTTAAGACCGAGGCAGTTGTGTCTGCCCCAGCAACTATGATGGTCACGGCATCTATTCACATCAGTCGTGTAGATACCTCGAACGAGACACACACTTGAGACAATTAAAGGAAATGGGTATGGCTCCACATTGAGGCGCTTGCTTTCCATCTTCATTGAAAGAGTCAGAATCGCGTCTCTTAGAATCTTGTGATCTCACAAGCTACTCACAAGATAGTAAAAAATGTCGTCATGAACGGACCCTTCTTGGAGTCGCCTCGTACTTTGTTCGGCCGCGAATTTAGCAAGGGATTTCATGTCCCGACCAACCATTGGCAAGAATCGAATAAGTTCGATGCACCAGGGTACCTGATGAATCAACGACGGAGGGCTAGAGAGTTGTCAATGATGATTCAATGCATTTATCAGGACTACTTACCGCATACCGCGCTCCATTCATCAGGAAAAAATCACATGGCTATGTACCGCCTGATAGCTCCGATACTTTTGATACCCAGGTCGACAAGTCCCCATTATATGGCACCGCGTAGCTCTCCGCCAAGGCTTGATAGCCGCTGGTAGCTCTGGCATGGAAATAACGTAGCACCTGGTAGCTCTTGGTAGCACTGACTGATAGCCTCAGTAGCACTCAATACTGCACAGTATCCAGCAATAACTCAGATAGTTCTCGCGTAGAGCACAAAAGTAATGCAAAAAACAGATAAATTCACAGGTACGACTAAGACATGATCGCACTACAAGAAGGGGCACAAACACTGGTGTGCACACATAACTAACACAGACGACGGCGGGAGGGTGGGCGCACACTACTGAACCAGCACGGGGCAGATGCGACACGGGAAGAGGACACACAGGTATATACAGGGCACTGACAACGCTCCCTGCGTTCGCAAAAGAAGAAAAAGGTGAGAAATGTTGACGGTGCGCGAAAGGATTGAAAACTCACAGCTGTTGCCGCACTGTGGAAAGAAGCCACGGACCTCAGTAATGCAACTATGGGATGGCTGTGAGCAGACGAAAGCAAACATATCATAACTCACCTCGGGAAGATCCATGGCAAGCATATCCGATGCATTCGGAGTAGGTGAACTCTTGCGCATGGGATAAGTTGAAAGGCTTGATGAGGCTGGGAGTCGTGTACAGTGAAGAGACAGCTTGGATAGAAAAGCCGACTAGCAAAAGAAACAGCAGAGACCTTGATGAGAAGGGATTTGTCTCCAACAGCAAGGGTTTGAAGATCTCGAAGCAGCGGCTTGGCATGGGAACCGTTCGGGACAGGTAGAGGTAATGGAGGTGGGAAGCTTGAAGCTTGGAAGGCTTGAAGCTTGAAGGGCCGACGTGCAAGGTAAGATGAGGCCACGGGGTAAAGGGAGGAAAGGGACGGGGGAGATGGGGGAAGAGAGCAAGATGCAAGATGATCAACAAACGCTGTTTGGCATGGAAACCAATCACGTAATCGGGCACGTGTGTCGGACTTTGAAATGACTTAGCGTTTTTTTCGCCAATCGTCTGCTGTCTGCTTATGTCTTTGGTGCCCATCCCCGTTGTTCAGGAAGAGGATATTTCTAGGAGGATGAACAAGAGGATGAATTCCACATTCCAGGCGCAAACTAAACACTCAAATATCGTTTCCTTTTCTGACCCGTCTCCCGAAGCTACGGATCCGCGGGGTGCCGGCTATCACCCGCTACTGATCCTGGGCAGGCGGCTCCCGAGGCTATCAAAGCCTATTGATCAATTGCGTAGCGCTACCAGAGCTACTGATCCTTCAGAGCCTGGCTGGCAGCAACGTAGGAAATACTTTTTTCCTGATGTTGTGTGCCATAAAAAGCGCTGATTTGTATCACGCATGAGCTCAAAGCCGCCACCGAAGCTGCAGGGTGAATTCAGGAAAGATCAGAGTGTGGATCAGAATTTTGGCGCACGCTATATCACCCATGAAGTCGAAGCTGATGAGCGTTGTAAGTAATTTTCTTCCTCATTCATAGGTTTAACCACCAACGAGAAGTAACTGAACCAGTGCGAAAGATCGAGCTTGGACTTCCGCTGATCCAAGGACTCAACAAGCTGAGACACTCTGCGGATTAACATTGGTTCGTATCCTTTGATTGCGGCAGGGGTAAAGGCTGTGTTCCAGCTCTTTCGTGCTTTAGCATGGCCTTGTGAGTTACGGGAGCCTATGATAATACCAGGCGCTGCTTCAGATCCTGACTGGGCTTTACCCGCCAACCGCCCATCCCACACTATGAAACAGTTTGGGGATACATTTGTAAAACGATTGGATGAGGTCACGTACTCGGGCCCTTTGGCATGCCTTTGACACCAAGGATAGAGGGTATGAGAGACTCATCAACGATGGATAATTCATTTGGTCCTTTCAAAAAGTTTGTGATTGCGAAATGATAAACTTAGTGCGCACCAATACGAACAACAGGACCGTATTTGTCGTGAAGTCGTTTGATGTAGAGGTGCAATGATCCCGTAGACGCAATGTACATGAGCCATAGCTTTGATATCTTGCAGACAAGTGGACCAGGATATTTCGACAGCGAGTGAGTCGGGGATAGGCGATAGGTACCGATGGAAATCAGAAGGCTCGAGTAGTATATTGAGTATGTCAGGAAGAGGGATGGATGTGAACACGGAGGTGGGCTCATCCTTGGGAAGGAATGCGAGTGCACCAGGCCAGATGACCAGTAGGAAAGTGAGGGAGGGGAAGCCTGTCGGCGCATACTTATTGCAACACAGATGGCAAGCCTAACGATAAGAGGAACCAAACTCTTGCACAAGTAGAGGTAGAAAAGCAAACCAAAGCACTGAAGAGGAGGAGAAAAGGATTACCAGACATGAGTGTCGACGAGCAAAGGACAACGGCATGTACATCAATTTGAAATGTCGCCGGGCCGGCGGCGTTCCGGATGGAGAAGCCGCGAAACGCGGAATCTGCACCGATCAATCACAGCATAATATTTTTTTTGGGGGGGCTAGTCATTGTATAGTTGGCCATTTTGTGGTTGGATTTACATAAGAAGAGATGTGGGTTCAAATACCACCAGAGGCCTAAAATAGGTGGCACTATCCAACCCCCCCCAAACCGACTTACTTGGATATTACTCCCCAGACCTGAGACCTGAGTCCCAGCTGATACACCACTGGCAGACTCACGACTCCTGAGCCACTCAAAGCCTCTGTGGATTACGGAAATCCCCTCTAAATACTGCAAATGTTGGGAGGAAATACAGGATCAACTCCCACCAGAAGCTTGGTCGGGAGATAAAGGTTTCCGTTTTTCTTTTTTAAGAACTAGTCCACCACTGTTCCAGATATTCATATGTTTCAACAGAGTGCAGATGTTCTTGTATATTGGTCCCCAAAAAAAAATTATAGCTAAATTACTTGTATATTACATGTACCGCCCAGACCTTTCCAGATAATATATCACTGAGCCACCTGAAGCCTCTGTGGATTATGGAAATCCCCTCTAAATACTAATGAATGTTGTGTAGCATGTTTAATTGGGAGGAAATGTGGGTAGGGCTGTACGCCGCCCCATCGACAGGCACGGCCATCGTTCCGACGGGACTTGGATGGGAACGGTCCGTCGTGCGACGGCCGTCATCTCGACAATTAAAACTACTGAGTAAGTTGATAATGTATGACCTAAACTGTGTATTGGGCTTACCTGGGCATGAAATATGCCTTGCAAAAGGCTTATACATCACATATGACTGTGCATTGCGTGTTTTCCAGACCCGTCGACCTGTTGACGGCCATTGTCAATGGGCACGACCGTCAAAAATGCAGTTGAAAAGCCTGACAGAACGGGGCGGCTACCCGTCGCACGGAACCCGTAGAACCGGCACGACGGGCACAGCGAACAGCCCTAAATGTGGGTTCGACTCCCACCAGAGGCTTATCCAAAAATTGTCCTTCTTTTTTCCCCCTCAAGTACTAGTATGCCAGGGCTCCAGATATTCATGTGTTTTCAACAGAGTGCGGAAGATCCAAAGCCTCAATTGCAAGCAGGGTCTGGCTGACTTGGGCTTGTTGATGTAGATACAGGACATTGCTACTTATTGTTTAGACAGCCTCTGTGGATTACAGAAATCATCTCGAGATATTGTTGTCCTTGTCATACACAAGAAGAAGTGGGTTTGACTCCCCCCAGAGGCCTGGACTCGTGCCATCGTTGAACCTTTTTCTTACAGCACTCTAGTACACCACGATAGTTTGAGGTTTTCGTTGGAGAGTATGAACGATCCTGGATCTATTATCACAGCCTCAAGCAGGGTCCAAGGGACTTAGGCTTATGTAGATACAAGACATTGCTACCTACTCTTTGAACAGCCTCTGTGGATTACAGAAATCATCTCAAGATATTTATTCCTGTCCATGCCTTGTGTCGCGAGAAGATTGTGGGTTCGATTCCCACCAGGCACTTGTTCATTCTTGGTGTTAGATTTTTTCATGCTTTGACTTTTGTGGCGGATGGGAACCTGCTAGTGGTGCTACTACAATGGTACCATAGCCAGTACATTACCACGCAACATTTGAGCCCTGAGCCTCTGTGGATTATGGAAATCCCCTCTAAATACTGTCTGGGTGAGTGCTTTCAAATGATTGGGAGGAAATGTGGGTTCGACTCCCACCAGAGGCTTGTCTAGGATACATACTTCTTTTTTCTCCTCCCGAATACTAGTACGGGGCACGGTCCAAATAATGGGTATTTCCTAAACAGAGTGCGGATGGTCGATCTATCAAAGCCCAGAATGGGGTCTTATGTAGATACAGGACTATACCCACTGCAGCTCAATGCCTAAGCAGCCTCTGTGGATTATGGAGATTGTCTTGAGGTATTTACACTATGGTATAATCTATTGTGAGAAGTCGTGGGTTCGACTCCCACCAGAGGCTTGTCCAGAATAAGATATTCTTTTTTTTCTCCTCCCAAGTACTAGTACACCACGGCTCTCTCCAGCTATTCATATGTTTGCAACAGAAGGCAGACAATCCAAGGCCTCAAGCAGGGTCTGGCTGACTTGAACTTATTTATATAGATACAGGACCATAGTACATACCTGCTGTAGTTCAAGCAGTTGAACAGCCTTTGTGGATTTATGGAAATCATCTCGAGATATTATATCAAGCTCGTTGTTCCGCGAGAAGACGTGGGTTCGACTCCCACTGGAGGCACTTCATACAGTCAATCTGAATTTTTTTTTTCTTCTTTGGTGGCGGACGAGTGATGACATTGAAGCTGAAGTTACTTCGTGCTACTACGATGGTACCATTCTCATTACATTACTGCTCACATTTGAGCAGCCTCTGTGGATTACAGAGATCACGTCCAAATACTAATAGGGTTAGAAGTATGTTGGGAGGAGATGTGGGTTCGACTCCCACCAGAGGCTTAAACAGTAATTGTCCTTCTTTTTTTCTCCTCCCTTGTACAAGTACGGGGCTCGGTCCAGATAGCAAGTATTTAGCCGATGATCCTAGATCTATAATCACAGCCTGGCCATGGGGCAGGGTCTACTAGGTGACTTTAATTGAACTTATTTATGTAGATACAGGACCATACCCACTGCGGCTCAATGTCTGAGCAGCCTCTGTAGATTATGGAAATCGTCTCGAGATGTTGGATTCGTCTTGCAAAATATCACGAGAAGACGTGGGTTCAACACCAGAGGCTTATCCAGGAATCATTTTTTACCTCCAATTATCAGTGCACCATGGGAGGGAGCAGATATTTATATTACTTCAACGGAGTGTGGATGATCCAAAGCCTCAGCAGGGTCTGGCTGACTTGGACTTATTTTAATTATATAGATATAGGACCATAGTACATACCTGCTGAAGTTCAAATGGTTGAACAGCTTCTGTGGATTTACGGAAATCGTTTCGAGATATTGTATATCGAGTTCATTATTCTGCGAGAAGGTGTGGGTTCGACTCCCGCTGGAGGCATGTGAATTATCCTCCGTGTTTTTTTTTTCTTTTGTGGTGGATGGGACGGGAACCTGCGCGTGGGGAGGACGGGGTACGATGGTATCATACTCATTACATTACCTACGTACCTTGGGCAGCCTCTGTAGATTACGGAAATCATCTCGCTCAGTTATTTAATTCAGAAGACGTGGGTTCGACTCCCACCAGAGGTGTTCACTGTCAGGTTCGTTTTTTTTGCTTTTGTGGCGGACGGAACCTGCGATGCACTAGTGCTACTACTACTATGTATGTAGGCCTCCCATACCTTGGCTTGCCAGCGCTGTTTACTGTACCCCGTCGTCGTCAGTCCCTCAGTTACACCATCTGAACCCGTTCTATTATTCATAAAAGGTCTGGGCATGCCAAGCGCGATTTGTCTCGATCCCGGTCGGCCTGGACGCGAACGATCAACCTCTGGTTCAATAAGTACAGTGTTGCTGTTTAATGTTCTGTAGTGGAGTCGGAGTCGGCGTCCCGGTGTCGCTCGTGTTAATCGGTCCCGGTAATCCGTTCCGCATTGGCGGGGTGCCAACCGCCAAGCTTCGAAAATCTCGGTCGGCCTGGGCGCCATTAATTATTACCCCAGGCCCCTGGTTGAACTTTGCGCCCCCGCACTTTGATGGGATCGGAGAGGCATTCAAATTGACGTGGTTTGATGGCACGGGATCAGCTGATCGCGTCTGCTTATCTCCATCACTTCTCCATCCATGCCCCATTCGGCAGACGCTTGCTGGTTTCTCGTCCAGCGCACCCTGCCTACGTACGCCCACGCCCATCACCACGCACAGCACACTGCAGCCCCACCCGTCGACGCGAGCTCCGCAGCCCTTTAAATTCAAGCTATGCTATCGTTCAGCCGTGCCCCCGGGCCCGCCCACGCACCGCGCGAATGCCTGCGCAAGCCTCGCATCCTGGTCCCTGACGTCGCGACCGCAGGGTGCCGAGCGAGGTGCGGGCGGCGTTGGCGAGGCGCGACGTCCCATGCTTGGCGCGTGCCGTGAAGACGGAAGTGGGATTATTGCAGTTTGCATATTAGTTGGCACAGCCCCGATCAACACTATTTTGGCTTGCCAGAGTAAATCAATTGTTTCTCGCTCATTTCTGGACCGATTGTCATAAGACCATGGGCTAAATTCACCGTTTTCTGGTGCACACTTTACGGTGCTAATTTTGCAGGCTCATACTAAGGCTTGAGAATCTTGGTTTCCACAAGCTGTTGCCTCATGCGCAAAATTATGCGATGGAGAAAAATCTATTCTGGGCCTCATAGAAGGTCAAAAAAGTGTAAGTACCGTCCAGCTAGCTCCTCCAACATTTTGGGGGGAATCGGGGGAGGAACGCGTCTACACAACGTGACGAAGTGCTCTGGTTTTCAACCTGTGAAAATGGTACGATCGGCGTTCAATTTTTCTTGCAATGAAAATGGCGGCAGTGATGGATCTTGAGTCCTGAATATGCACACATACTATCAGCTAGTGTGCTCCTCAAATTTCAGGCAAATCCGTTGTGGATTTAGTTGCGGAGTGCGGCAGCAAAAGCCGGATCACTGATCTGATCAATGGCTAAGTTCTAAACACCCCCGGCGAGCTCAGTACTTGTCCAAAACCTCCCAAAATTCAACTGGAGGTTCCCGGGTATATTCCAGCCATTTGACAGTATTGAAATTTTATGGAGATTGATTGGTTCTCTCGTATAAATTCGGATCATGATTTCACGTATGGTACCAATACACAATTTGAAATCTTGGTACCTACACATAAATCTGGTACGAGAAAATGAGGCTTAAGAAACGATAAATTTAGCATCCAATATCTAAGGAATCCGTGCAGTATTGAGCGAGAAACAATGCAAATGCTTTGGCGCATCAAATGTGCCGAAAATTTGCTGATCGGGGCTGTGCCAACTAATATGCAAACTGCAATAAAAGAGGAGAGGGAGGGGATACAGATACCCTCGAAGAGTGCATGGGACGGTGATGGTACAGTACGTTACCGTGTTTTTTGACTCTTGCCTTGATCGCCGAGCCACGATCCAGTCCTCTTACCTTTGTCGTCGACCCTGCGAAATGGCGCAGCCATTGACTTGGACGTCTCTGCGAAGGGATGACACTCGGGATGCCCTGCGCTTTCTTGCGCAGGCTGCCGCGCGGGCAATTTTGCGCCCTATAAATCACGGGCGATACATCCATCCTCCCCGACTTGCGCCTTGGACTATCTTGCTCATGGCCTCAGACGACTCTCTTACCCCGAAACTGCCTCCTGAGCTAGAAAGATACATTTTTGAGCTAGGCGCTTTGGCGGACAGGCGCGGCATACCGTCTCTGCTGCGGGTGGCCCATCGTGTTCATGTGTGGTATGTACCATCTTACATTTCTCTGCTTTCAGTCTACTTAAATTGAATCCAGGCTCGAGCCCTTGCTGTATAATGCCCTCGTCCTCAATTACTCCCAACGGCGCCACTTGACGCCCGCATTCCTCGCGCCGCGCGTCCAGCACCTCAACCTCACCGGACCAATGCCGCCCAGCCAGCTGCGCGCCCTCCTCGCCGCGTGCACCCGCACCACCAATCGCCGCGTGCACCCGTACCACCAACCTCGCGCTCTGGGTGCTCACCCCCCCGCTCCCGCTCCCGTACCTCCTCCGGCTTCTCAACGCGCTCCCCCTCACGCGCCTCTCCGCCGACACGACCCACTTCTTCGGCGGGCCCCTCCGCGCTAACGCCGCCTCCGCGCGCTCACGCACCTCGCCGTCCGCGCCGCGGGCTTTGACGACTGGCGACTGGCGCCTCTCCGCGGGCCGCGCGACGGGCCTCCCGCACCTACCCGCGTGGTGCGCGGCGCAGGGCGGTGGACATGCGCGAGGTGGTGGATGCGCGGCTGTTTGTGACAGCCTGCGCTTCATGGAGACCGGTGCGCGTGGGCGGAGGGAGGCGTTCATTGCTAAGAAAGCCGCGGGGCAGATACCATGCGAGTTTTTCCCCCGTCTTTATAATGAGTCGTCCCTTGCTAACTGACTCTGAGTGTCTCGATTGTGCGTCAAGTGATGGAGAAGAGCGAACCCTCTCGTGTTTCATCCTACAAACTACATAGTACTCATACATACATTGCCTTGTCTTGTCAATTTTCTTCCCCCCCCCCCCCCCCCTCCTCCTCCTCCTCCTTCTTGTCTGCACCCCCTACATCCGATGCCCCAAATTAACATGCACCGCCTTCACATTCGTATAATTATGCAACGCATACTCCCCCAGCTCGCGCCCGATCCCGCTCTGCTTGAACCCCCCAAACGGCACGTTCGCGTGGAGCTGATTCACGCAGTTCACCCACGCGGTGCCCGCCTGCAGCTTGTGCGCCGTCTCGAGCGCGCGGTTGATGTTCTGCGAGAAGACGGCGGCGGCGAGGCCGTACACCGTGTCGTTGGCTTGGCGGATCACGTCTGGGGTGAGTGTTAGCGGTGCGCGTGGGGGGGAGCGAGCGTGGACGAGCGAGGGAGTGGGGACGGGGAGGAGTGATGCGGGAAAAAAAAGGGACTCACCCTCCTCATCCGTAAACTTGATCACAACCCCGACCGGCCCAAAGATCTCCTCCTTCACGATCTTCATCTCGGGCTTGACATCCGTGAAGATCGTCGGCTGGATAAAGTACCCCTCCGTCCCATGGCGCTCGCCCCCGATGTGCACCGTCGCGCCCTCCTCCTTGCCGCTGTCGATGTACCCCATGATGCGCTAAGGGGCGCGTGCGTTAGCGCGTAGTGCATTACGACGGAAGGGAGGAGAGAGCGCGAAGGAGTGTATGACGAAGGAAAGTGCAGACGAAGGATAGCACGACGAATAAAGGAAGGAGAGAGGAAAGAACAACGCACATCATACTGCAACTGGCTAACCTGCGGCCCCTGGTCGACCCCAGGCGCAAACGGGTCCCCCACACTGAT